GCATCTATAGAGGAACACCAAATCCCAGCAATAATACATTAAACAGCCTGTATAATGTATTATTGCTGGGATTTGTTGTTCCTCTATAGCTGCTGGTGTTCAGCAGTGTGCCGCTGTATTATACATTGGTATTCTGTAGAGCTGCAACAATTATTAGATTAAGTCGATTAAAATTCGACGATGGAAAGCGTGGCCAGCGTTTTCCATCGTCGATTCGTCGGCTAAAATTTAAATTTCCCACTCACGCCCGCATACCCGGCCACCGCACATGCCAGACACACGCCCGCAGAGCACGCCGCTACAGCGACTTACAAGGGTTCAGAAACAGGTAACGGGGACCTGTTTTAATGTTTCCTGTTTAAAAAAAAAAAAAAGCGGCACACTGTAGAACACAAACAGCTATACAGGAACAACAAATCCCAGCAATAATACATTAAACAGCCTGTATAATGTATTATTGCTGGGATTTGTTGTTCCTCTATAGCTGCTGGTGTTCTACAGTGTACCGCTGTATTATACATTGGTATTCTGCATTGCATTGTGCATGGTGTTCTGCATTGTATTGTATTGTGCATGGTATTCTGCATTGTGTTGTACAGCGACACACTGCAGAACACCAGCAGCTATAGAGGAACACCAAATCCCAGCAATAATATATTAGGCAGCCTGTATAATGTATTATTGCTGGGATTTGTTGTTCCTCTATAGCTGGTGGTAGTCTCCATTGCGCTGTATAATGTATTGTTGCTGGGATTTGTAGTTCCTCTATAACTGGTCAGTGGTAATCTGCATTGCGCAGTATAATCCTTACACAGCGCAACAGAGAATACCACCAGCTATAGAGGACCACAAATCCCAGCAATAGTACATTATATACAACGCAATGCAGAATACCAGCAGTTAGAGGACTACAAATCCCTGCAATAGTACATTATAGTATAATGTTATACTATTGCTGGTATACTATTGCTGGTACTTGTTGTATTCCTATATAGCTGCTGGTATTCTGCATTTCGCCGTATAATCATTATACAGCGCAATGCTGAATAACGCCAGCTACAGAGGATTACAAATCCCAGCAATAGTACATTATAGTATAATGTACTATTGCTACATTCCTCTATAGCTGCTGGTATTCTGCACTGCGCCGCTGTATAATGTACTATATTGCACACCACACTCTTTTTTTACTTCCACCGCGCCAAGCTTGCTCCCGTGATGGACTACAATCTCAACAGAAACTAGTAGTCCATCACTGGAGCCTTTTTTTT